GCGAATCTTTAACAACAACAAGAACCTTTGTTCCCTACACCGCCTAGAACCTCCTGATCATGAGAAGTTATAGCCCCGCTCCTATGGTAAGTCCACTACGGGATCACCATAGCCCGTGCTACTTGCCCCGCTCCTATGGTAAGTCCACTACGGGATCACCATAGCCCGTGCTACTTGCCCCGCTCCTGTGCCAGGTAAGTCCACTACGGGCTCACCATAGCCCGTGCTACTTGCCCCGCTCCTGTGCCAGGTAAGTCCACTACGGGCTCACCATAGCCCGTGCTACTTGCCCCGCTCCTGTGCCAGGTAAGTCCACTACGGGCTCACCATAGCCCGTGCTACTTGCCCCGCTCCTGTGCCAGGTAAGTCCACTACGGGCTCACCATAGCCCGTGCTACTTGCCCCGCTCCTGTGCCAGGTAAGTCCACTACGGGATCACCATAGCCCGTGCTACTTGCCCCGCTCCTGTGCCAGGTAAGTCCACTACGGGCTCACCATAGCCCGTGCTACTTGCCCCGCTCCTGTGCCAGGTAAGTCCACTACGGGCTCACCATAGCCCGTGCTACTTGCCCCGCTCCTGTGCCAGGTAAGTCCACTACGGGCTCACCATAGCCCGTGCTACTTGGAACTGCTTTGTCCCAAGTAGCAAATCTTAAACAACAACAACATATCAGCAAAAGAGGAAGCTTCTACCACTATCTTTAACTGCTTCAAGGTAAATTGCAATTCGTATCGTTAATCTCAACAAGCCCAAAACAGCTCGTAGCATCAATCGCAGCCTCTCAAAAAGATCTTCCATCAATCGCGGGTCCAAAAAAAGCCTAATCGTCAAATCCAGTAAGTCGAAAACGGCACAAATCATTACAAAAGACTTCAGACACGAACTCAAAAAGCCATCAAACACTGAGGTAAACTTCAGCTCTCTCTCACCAAACTCTTTATGAGATCAAAATGTAAACAGCTCAAAATTCTGACCTCAAAACGTTTTCTAAACGTTCTCAAAACGTTGCGTACAACTTTGAGGTAATTTTGTAATGTTTGCTGAGTGGACTGTTGGATTTTATGAAGATATTGGGATCTATTTCTCCTTAATGTATATGTATATGTATTGTAATGTATAATGTATTTTTGTATGTATATGTATTTTTAATGTATATATATGTATATGTATATGTATTTTTGATTTATATGTATATGTATTCTTCTTGCATAAGGTATCAGTGATTCTAAGCATCCCCATATATCTCTGGATATGGTTAGTCAATGTTGCCTTTTTTTTTTCTTTACAGGATCAAGCGAGATAATTTGGTGCAGGCGAGGAGTCACAATAACGTGGCTGAAGTATGTTGACCAGACCACACACTAGAATGTGAAGGGACGACGACGTTTCGGTCCGTCCTGGACCGAATCGCCCACAATCGACTTGAGAATGGTCCAGGACGGACGGTCGAGATAATTTGGTTTTAATTGTCATTTCTGGTCTCAGATTGACTCTTGGCCTAGGGGCCTCAGGGGCCTCGTAGCCTGGTGGATAGCGCGCAGGACTCGTAATTCTGTGGCGCGGGTTCGATTCCCGCACGAGGCAGAAACAAATGGGCAAAGTTTCTTTCACCCTGAATGCCCCTGTTACCTAGCAGTAAATAGGTACCTGGGAGTTAGTCAGCTGTCACGGGCTGCTTCCTGGGGGTGGAGGCCTGGTCGAGGACCGGGCCGCGGGGACACTAAAGCCCCGAAATCATCTCAAGATAACCTCAAGATAACCTAAAACTATTCAGCCTAAAGTGACGCTCACTAAGCTCTTAACACCTGTATTAACGCCAGCATTAACAATACTAACATACCTTGAGGTTATCTTGAGATGATTTCGGGGCTTTAGTGTCTCCGCGGCCCGGTCCTCGACCAGGCCTCCACCCCCAGGAAGTAGCCCGTGACAGCTGACTAACACCCAGGTACCTATTTTACTGCTAGGTAACAGGGGCATAGAGTGAAAGAAACTCTGCCCATAGTTTCTCGCCGGCGCCTGGGATCGAATCCAGGACCACAGGATCACAAGTCCAGCGTGCTGTCCGCTCGGCCGACCGGCTCCTATACATATACATCACCACCAGGTTAAAACATGTGCGTCAATACATGCAAGAATTTAAACATCCTTCAACATCACCCGAGTCAAAATACAATGACGCTGCCACCCACAGGGGAGCAGCTAAGTCTTATAAGGAAAAAACATCTGGATCACCATTACAATTTTGTCCCCATTGCCTCAGAGACACTCGGTGCCTGGGGGTAAGTGTGGCTCTAGACTTGGTGAAGGATTTGGGCTCTAAGCTACTCGAAACTACAAGAGACGCTAAGGCAGCCAGCTTCCTTTACCCATGCCTTAGTGTGGCGATACAGAGGGAAGACACACACTGCATCCAGGGGTTCCTGACCACCCCTTCGGGCTCACCATAGCCCGTGCTACTTGGAACTTTTTGTTCCAGGTAGAAAATCTTAAACAACAACAACTGCCCCCCTCCCCCGCTGAGGAGCTGGAACAACTCGAGAACCTGTGACAACTGACTTTGTACATTAAATATATTCAAATATAACCCATTTTATGTAATAAAGTTTCAAATCAAATAACCAAATAATTACAAATATATGGGGGTGTGAAAGGAGAAAATAATGGGAGCATATGTGGGAGTTCTACAAGGCTTCCTCGGGTGCTGCATGCCTTCTTCTTAGAGGCTGAGGGTCCTTGCTTAGCTAAATGACCTGTGGGGTTTCAGTTTCTGAACCCATTACGTTATTCTGTAATGTTTTCTATCACCGCCCGCGGGATGGGTATGGGGTCCACCACCGCCCACGGGAAGGGTATTGGGTTTACCACCCCCCACGGTATGGGTATAGGATCCACCACCGCCCACGGGATGGGTATAGGATGCACCACAACACACGGGATGGGTATGGGGTCCACCACCGCCCACAGGATGGGTATGGGGTCCACCACCGCCCACAGGATGGGTATGGGGGGTCATCCACCGCCCACGGGATGGGTACGGGGTCCACTAACACTCACAGGATGGGTATAGGATCCACCATCGCCCACGGGATGGGTATGGGATCTACCACCGCCCACTGGATAGGTATGGGGTCCACCACCGCCCACGGGATGGGTACGCTGTCCATCACAACCAAGAGATGGGTATAGGGACCACCACTACCCACGGGATGGGCATAGAGTGCATAATATATAACTAAACTAACTCCTGACCACCTACAACCAACCACGTCTAACTTCAGGGAAATACCTCAACTTCACGGTTCAAGTTACAATCACCCACCACCTCTCAACCCCACACCCACCTATGGGTAACCCACATTACCCCACACAAATACCCACATACCCACAATGCACCGGGCATTTATTGTCGCGGTATCTGAAGCTGCAAGCTTAATTTTTGTGCGAATAACAGATGGCGTACTCTGCCATCAGTAATAACAGTTCTACCACCGTTATTACTGAGGGCACCAGATATAATTATTAGAGAATGATTGAACCACCGTTTCTACAGGGTGTATAGACCCTCCCACTCCCTCCTCTGCTACCCCAAACCCCTTTCTAGGCTGGAGTCAGGTAAAATATTGGACATTATTATACAATAATATTGTATTGGACATTGGACAAATGTCCTTCATTGGACAAATTATACTCGTATAAAATTATATACCCTCTGCATCAAGATTCATAGTTTTTACATCCTTATATATATATATAACATATATAAAAAAAATTTAAGAAAAAAACAAGTCTATTGGGGTTATAGAAAAAAATTTAATAAGGGAAATAAATTGTGAGAGATTTTTAGTCTTTAAAAATAATCAATCGCATTGCAACTTAAAAAAAAAGAGTAATTTAAGAAATTTATTTTTTTCCGATGGATCTTCGGAAAAAAATGATATTAACATATCTGAATAGTTACTTAAGTTTTAATTTAATATTCGATTCAAAATCTTATAAAATTACATGTCTTGTATGTGCTGAATCTACCAAGGCATTAGAAAATCTTCCAAGGCATTAGAAAATCTTCCAAGGCATTAGAAAATCTTCCAAGGCATTAGAAAATCTACCAAGGCATTAGAAAATCTACCAAGGCATTAGAAAATCTTCCAAGGCATTAGAAAATCTACCAAGGCATTAGAAAATCTACCAAGGCATTAGAAAATCTTCCAAGGCATTAGAAAATCTTCCAAGGCATTAGAAAATCTTCCAAGGCATTAGAAAATCTTCCAAGGCATTAGAAAATCTTCCAAGGCATTAGAAAATCTTCCAAGGCATTAGAAAATCTTCCAAGGCATTAGAAAATCTTCCAAGGCATTAGAAAATCTTCCAAGGCATTAGAAAATCTTCCAAGGCATTAGAAAATCTTCCAAGGCATTAGAAAATCTTCCAAGGCATTAGAAAATCTTCCAAGGCATTAAGAAAATCTACCAAGGCATTAGAAAATCTTCCAAGGCATTAGAAAATCTACCAAGGCATTAAGAAAATCTTCCAAGGCATTAGAAAATCTTCCAAGGCATTAAGAAAATCTTCCAAGGCATTAGAAAATCTACCAAGGCATTAAGAAAATCTTCCAAGGCATTAGAAAATCTTCCAAGGCATTAAGAAAATCTACCAAGGCATTAAGAAAATCTTCCAAGGCATTAGAAAATCTTCCAAGGCATTAGAAAATCTACCAAGGCATTAGAAAATCTTCCAAGGCATTAGAAAATCTTCCAAGGCATTAGAAAATCTTCCAAGGCATTAGAAAATCTTCCAAGGCATTAAGAAAATCTACCAAGGCATTAAGAAAATCTACCAAGGCATTAGAAAATCTACCAAGGCATTAGAAAATCTACCAAGGCATTAGAAAATCTACCAAGGCATTAGAAAATCTACCAAGGCATTAGAAAATCTACCAAGGCATTAAGAAAATCTACCAAGGCATTAAGAAAATCTACCAAGGCATTAGAAAATCTACCAAGGCATTAAGAAAATCTTCCAAGGCATTAAGAAAATCTACCAAGGCATTAAGAAAATCTTCCAAGGCATTAAGAAAATCTTCCAAGGCATTAAGAAAATCTTCCAAGGCATTAAGAAAATCTACCAAGGCATTAAGAAAATCTTCCAAGGCATTAAGAAAATCTACCAAGGCATTAAGAAAATCGACCAAGACATCAGCAAATCTCATCGAAAAAATTTACCAATATAGGAATTCGGAATGTTTAGCACAACCTCCTTAGTCAGTCCTGGGGGTGAGGATCAACATTCCTGCATCCTGGTCAATAATGGTCAGTATCACCCAGATGAACCAGGAAGCAGTAAGGAAGGAAATTATCAAGGGAGAAAGCGCCAAGCCATTACGACTATATAGCACTGGGATGGTCAGGATAAGGATTTGGGATGGGCTATTTAACACAAGGGGCACACGCACTAGGGGACACAGGTGGAAACTGAGTGCCCAAATGAGCCACAGAGATATTAGAAAGAACTTTTTTAGTGTCAGCGTGGTTGACAAATGGAATGCATTAGGAAGTGCTGACTCCATACACAGTTTCAAGTGTAGATATGATAGAGCCCAATAGGCTCAGGAACCTGTACACCAGTTGATTGACAGTTGAGAGGCGGGACCAAAGAGCCAGAGCTCAACCCCCGCAAGCACAACTAGTTGAGTACACACACAGGAGAGAATGCAAAGGTTCCCGACTTCGCCAGTGCCACAGCACAATATAGATGACATGAACAAGGAAAGAGAGAGAGAACACGAACATAGGGAGAACAGGAGAACATGCACAGGGAAAGATCGTTAGAAAATAGGCATGAACAGGAACATCTTACGCTAAAGAGATGCTAAAAAGCACTTCTTCAGTGGAAGAAATGCTTTCTTCCACTGAAAAAAAGTGCATAGAAGTGCGCCACAAACTACATGATGAGAAGCAGTTAAATTTAAAATTTCTTACCCAACCAACAGTTTCATAAGTGAACATGATAAGAAACACAAAAAAGGCTGGATTCCAGGAGCTGAAACCTGCCGAGAAAGGCGAGTCCCAACACACCCGATCCCAGATTTCCATAATGACAGACATGACGCCCCGGCTGCCGGAATGCGCAAGAGGCAGAAAATATCCCAGGGTCCATTCCTCAACGTAATTGCCAGCCCCTTCAGCAGTCTTTCCCGGATTGAAAAATCATGTCCAATGTCCGGCGGCGGTGTTATTGTCCGTCAACACGCAAGTTTATGGACTAGGGAGAGGGAGAGAGAGCGAGAGCAAGAGCGAGAGCTAGAGAGCTCTTCAGAAGGGCATACATGGGTAACATTAAACTCTCTAACGCCAAGATCAAAGGACTCAAGCTTGGATAAAAAGAAGCTGAGTAACAGCAAGGGAAAATTATCACTGGCCTCACGGAAATGGGTACTCAGTGGCATCCACGTCTTGTCCTTGAAAATACTCACCGTAACTGAGGAAATAATAAACACAAAAATAATTCACATAATAGCATAGAGAATAACTACGTTACACGACAAACTTACCACACTCATTATTACATCATAAAATCAATAACATTACCAATAACAAGATTAAGAACAAAAAGCAATAGTAATAATAAAAATAATCATAATAATTGCACCAACAAATTTATATATAACGAGGAGAAATAACATAAAAAAAGATGGAATTCCTGTCTAATAACAAAGAAACAGCTGAACCCGACATAGACACGAATCTCACCCGTTTTCTGACTGGATGGTCGTCACTACGACCCTCGGACAGGTTAGGGGAAGACTCAAAAAAATACGAAGAGTCGTATCAATCGTCCGAGAGGTGCAATTGACGTTGTAAAGAGTTGTAATTATGGAAGGAAACAAAAAAGAGAACTTTGTTGAAAATTCACTTAACTCAAAATACAAGTGTTGCAGCTGTATAATCCATTTAGAAACTTTTTATAAATACAACTGATGTAGTTGCATTATTTAGTGAAAAATGTGTTGAATACAACTCTCACAGTTGTATAATATTGTGAATGCCTTGTTGACCAACATGGTAGCATTTAATATATTGAGAATCTTGTTGAATTCAACTGCTGGTGGTGTATATTAATTCAGAGACTTCAAGAATACAACTGTTGCTGTTGAATAACATTGAAAGCCTCATTGAATACAACTGTAACATATACATGACATAATGAGAGAACTGTCGAATACAGCCGCTGTGAGACTGTATCAAATACAGCGGCTGTATTTAATAGCATTTTAAATATTCAAAAATGTGTTTTTTCATATTTCATGTCTATCATTAACCATGCAATGTTATCTTTTTCGATTAGTTTTATTTTCATCATAGGCATTAGAAACAGCAGCAGAATTTCAGCCCGGCATAAAAAATTTAATTTCCTATAGAAACCTAGGTGCTGGAACGTTCAAAAATGCACTGTTATATACCAAAATACCTAATTTTGTACAAATATTTTTGTAAAGGACACAATAATGCAAAAATTACGCTTAAACATTCCTAGGTCTAGTACATGGAACACATATATTGAAAATTAGGCTTCAGATAATATTTTTGGCGTATATTATGGCCTAATAATGCTTTTTTTTAGGCCTTATAGGCTGTTTTAGCTTTAGGTTTGACATGTGAGGTGATCCTATAGCACAAATTGAATTTTTTTCTTACAATATTAAATTTTTGCTAGTTTTTATTTATTATATTACTGATTTAATCATTTTTTGTACTTGTTATTTTTTTTTTTTATTTTTATACCCCCTGATATTTACCTTTTGAGAGTAAATTATATAATGTAACTCCTTCATAAAAAATATATGAAATTTCTACACATATAAAGGTTAGAAATATATTTTCTTTAAAAGTTTACATTTTATTCAGTAAAAATTTTCGACTTGCTGCCCATGTTTGATTTATTATAAAAAATACTAAAACATTCTACTTGCCCTAGATTTTACTGAAATAAAAACATCACTTGACTGAAATAAAGACATTTTAATACAATTTAAACATTTCCTTTCAATTAAAACTCTATTTGACTGCAACTTAATATTAAATTACCACATATAATATTACCACATAATCTAAATTCCATGTTTTACATTCCATGTAATGTATTCAAAATGTGTGTGTGTGTCATTTTGAAATTTGAATACTTACACGTAAATTACAAAAAAAAAAACATAAGTTTAATATAATAATGTTCCCAAATCAATATTTACTAATAAAATATTAAATAAATATATTATATATATATATATATATATATATATATATATATATATATATATATATATATATATATGAGATTGCAGAACACATTTTCTGCCTCAGGCCATCCTCAGAGCACAATAGAATATGATAGATATTCTATTTTGCTCCTTGGGGAGGAAAGTGGGGTTGGATAGAAGGGGTTGATGAACAAGCAACCTCTGAGTGACGTCCCTCAACCAGCGACACATACCATTGAAGTCTGTAACAACCTTATTTGATCTATAAAAAGGTCTAGACGGCATTTCCAGTGTATAATACATCATACATGATGTGGAATACATTATACATGTGTAATACATCATGTTTGGTTAAGTGAGCTTAAGAGCTAACAGCTTGATCACGCAGGTGCAAATAGTAAGTATACATACATACTTACTAGCATTGCAACATTACCAAACTGTCACCAACACACCCTCACTTCACCACCAACACCACACTTTTCCCCCACCACAACTACCACCACCATAAATACCCCTAACCACTACAACCACCACAACATTGGTGACGGTGGTAGGTGTGGTGGTGATGGTGGTTGTGGTGGTGATAGTGGTAACAGTGATACCTCACCACCACTACCACTACACAGCCGTCAATAACTCCCAGTGTGAAACTCGAAACAAAAATACATACCCATATGTTTCATTCATTATAAGACATTCTATGACTGTTCATGCTAAGCCAGTGAGGGGGGCAGTCAAGCCATTTAACCTGGGTTAAAATGACCCCTTATTTTCCTCTGGAGAGATTAGATATGTTTACAATCGCGCGACAGATAATCTAAGGCTATCCTCGTCATTGTGTATCATTATTCGATCTGTGTTTTGATCGCGTCAGCAGTGCTTTGATCACGTCAGGAGTGCTTTGATCGCGTCAGGAGTGCTTTGATCGCGTCAGGAGTGCTTTGATCGCGTCAGGAGTGCTTTGATCGCGTCAGGAGTGCTTTGATCGCGTCAGGAGTGCTTTGATCGCGTCAGGAGTGCTTTGATCGCGTCTGGAGTGCGTTGATCGCGTCAGGAGTGCTTTGATCGCGTCAGGAGTGCTTTGATCGCGTCTGGAGTATTTTGCTTGCGTCAAGATTGTTCTATTTGCGTCAATTACGCTTTTACACCAATTGTATTTTGCTTTAAAAATAGCTGCATTCTTATTTTACATCTGTAGTGTTTGTTTACATCGGTTGCGACTCATTTACATCAGCTTTAACTCGCTTATATCTGTTGTTTTTGCATGTGCTTTATTTGGATTACAGAGCTGGTGGCGATATGGGACTCTAGAGTCAGAAACACCAGAGATATTATTTGCAAGTGGGATAAAAAATATGTGGTGAAAAATGCAAGCAACTTGAGTATTGCAGAACAATAATGATTTCGAGTAGTGTGTCGGAAAGATGAGAGAGGATGGAGTGATTTATAGATTCTTTGTGTGTGTGTGTGTGTGTGTGTGTGTGTGTGTGTGTGTGTGTGTGTGTGTGTGTGTGTGTGTGTGTGTGTGCGTGTGTGGGTGGGTGTGTGCGTAGTCTGTAAATAAGAAAATAAAGCTTGAATAACTATTAGCAAATGTGTGGGTACAGCATCTCTTAGATCAAGATCAAAACTCCTATTAATGGGAGACTTCAATTGTTGAAAAATAGACTGGGAAAGCAATAGATTTACGAGGAAATGAAGGGACAAGAATAGCAAAGCTGTAAGTAGCTAAAGAGAACCATTTATTACAACAAGTCAGGGGGAAAAATTGAAAACTAAAAAAGATCCAATGATATGCAGCAAGGCTTGCCCCGGAACTAAGAGAATTGAGCTATGAGGAAACACAGAAGGCACTGAACCTCGCCAGACTTGAGGAAAGAGGGCATGAGATACACATGATAAAAGAGGGAATAAGATAGACATGATAATGCCACTCATGCCTCTAAAGGGGGAATATCCCAAATAGAACAGAGAAGCGATATTGAAACTAAAGGTCGATATACAATGGGTCACAGAACGAACAGAAGCAACTTCTTTAATGCAAAGCCAATAAAACAAAAATAAAACCGATTAGATAAAGCTGTCGAAGCCAATTTACTTTACAGCTTTACATACGTATATATGAAAAGAAAAACTTGTGACATAAATCATTGCATTCACACACACACACACACAGACGGTCTGCAGGCAAGCACATCTAGGTGAACGAGTATGCAAGTGACTCCACTACGGGATCACCATAGCCCGTGCTACTTGGAACTTTTTGTTCCAGGTAGCGAATCTTTAACAACAACAAGTGACTCCAAACATGCGCACTCACACACACTCAAACACCCAGAAAAACACAGCGTTGCGAGAAGAACCACATAGAGAGCTTAGTGTTAGCGTTCATCTCAGATATATTCAAAGATTTGACCGCATCGCCAACCAATTGCTTCGTGGGTAGTAATCATGGTTGGGAGGGGTGTTGAGACATAGTTCCCGGTCCTGCCTCCCCCTTCATTTTAGTCTGCTGACCATTCACACACACACACACCCCTATGCCCCTGTTACCTAGCAGTAAAATAGGTACCTGGGTGTTAGTCAGCTGTCACGGGCTGCTTCCTGGGGGGTGAACCGGGCCGCGGGGACACTAAAAAGCCCCGAAATCATCAAGATAACCTCAAGATAAGATCACTTCTTGCCTTGTCGGTCTGTTTGTCTGCTTGTCTATCGCGCCCTGTCTGTTTCTGTCTGCTCATCGCCTCCTGTTTGTTCCTGTCTACTTCTCACTGTCTACCCGTCAATCAAGCGCACTCTTGTCATCACTAGTGAAGGCGACTAACGATAAGAGTCAGGTGAAGAACAACTCTTGAGAGTCGAGTGAAGAACACGGGAGAACAAAAAAATATTTACGGAATAACAAAAAAAAAAAGTTTAACCTTGAAAGCTGAAAATTTTAACATTTTGCGTTTTTTTAATGTAGTCTTCGATTTCACTGTAATTTATGTATTATATAGAATATACCAATAATACGTATGAGAACAAATAGTATACATATGTATATATCTGCTAGTATATAGGGGTATATACATATACCATTTTTCCATTCCATTCTTCTCCCAATCGCCCATTCTCTCTCCTCTCTTTCCCTATTCTCTCTCTCTCTTTCCCTATTTTTTCACAATTATTTTC